AATTTATTTATTTGAGAGAGAGAGCACATGAGAGGGAGGAGGGTCAGGTGAAACCTGACTGCTGAGCAGGGAGCCTGATGTGGGACTCGATCCCGCTGAGCAGGGAGCCTGATGTGGGACTCGATCCCGGGACTCCAGGATCATGACCTGAGCCGAAGGCAGTCGCTTAACCAACTGAGCCACCCAGGCGCCCCTGTAATATTTTATTTTTTTAAGTAATCTCTACACCCAACGTGGGGCTCGAACTCAAAATCCCAAGATTAGGCATTGCATGCTCTTCCAACTGAGCCAGCCAGGCGCCCCTGCTTTCGTTTTCTTTAGCTGAATGAATGTCTTTGCAGCTCCCCAACATGCTGTATACATGCGGACTCCTTCTGGAAAATAAAAAGGAAAGTTTTCACAGTTGTATTGCGTGAGAAGTTTGTCCAGCCCTGTTCTAGGAGAAATCAAGGTATGATCACCCTCTACTGGCCAAGCATAGTGACAGCAACAAAAATAAGCAAGGCGAGAATGAGCAAGCAAGGTCTAGAAAGCCACCATTTGAGGGAGAAACATGACCACCATGCTGCTGGAAGGGGAAGGAGGAAGCCAGAGCCTACAGTAACCACTGGTAGCTTTTCCCTTCCAGATTTCTGCCACAAAGGAGAGATCAACGCTTTTTCTCTTTCAAGACAAAAGACAACTGAGCAGCGTAGAGAAAGAGAGATGGGAGAGTGTGGAGGTCATTTAGGAACTGTGGACCCTCCAAGGGCCCTCGGTCAGTTCAAACATTTCACAGTCCAAGATTCAGTGTATGTGCCGCCGAAGCGAGCACTTACAGTCCAAGATTCAGAAGCAACCTTCAGATAAGATCATGGAACTGTGTAGGTGATCGCTGGGACATGAGAGTGTTCAAGTATTTCGAAGGGCTGACAAGAACGACTGCATTTTGTGAGAGAAAAGGACTAATCAAGACCAGGGTCACTGAGTTGAAATTATAGGAATGCAGATTTTGGCTTTAATTTATTACTTTTTTTTTTTTTAA